AGTAGAATAATTTGTTCTGCACAACTTTCAAGTGGCCCCCTGAAGCATGTACACAACCTTTTAACCTGCCACACAGCAAGTTTGGACGAGAGACGTGCACAATATGGCCATCCACGGTATAGTTATCCTATATGCTTGACACGTACAAGGGGCGGGCTTGGCCTGGATACGATATGGTATAGTACGGTACGGTACTTACCTGCATATACCTCCACCTCGCACAGCGTCAGGATTCGCCTCTTCCCCGGCAGCCTGATGCCCACGTACCTGCCCCTCAGTCCGCCGCAGTTGACAGCATGCTCGGTCTCAGTCGGAGGGAAGTGGTGATGCCCGCCACACCTCGGGTTGCTGGCCACGTCAGTGCTGTACCCAACGTGGACGTCGAAGGGTGTGATCCTTTCAGAGCAGCAGTCACGGCGGTTGACGATGGTGACGTGGTCCACAGTGACATAATGTCCCAAATCGACGTACCACCATGGGTCGTTTTCTTCGTTCGTGTGTGTGCAGGAATTGTGAGCCCAGTGAGGACTCCTGTTTCCGTCCACAGCTCGAGCCGGGTCGCCTTCATGCCCTGTGCTCGACTGATGTGTAGGTCTCCCTGATGCAAGGTTTGGGTCAGTAAAGGTTCGTTGATCTGAAAGTAACGTTAGTGAACACAATTTGTTTTGATGATATATATCAAAGTTGATACACGTATATGAAAAATTCATAAATATGTTTATGCTTAATATATAAATACTACTCTATCACTTGAAAGGCATGCGCTAAATTTCCGGCATATCGTGAAAGTTTAGTCTCTACCAGACTAACTACATTGAATTTCGTTATACATGAGGAGAATGTTTGCAAGGGAAGTTTGCCTGGCCGCAAAGGGAAACAATCAACCTTCAGCGGACTAACTCGCCTGGCCAAGTCAACTCTTCTTTTTGCCAAATAAATTTTTATGGGCTTCCATGGAAACCGGACGAGTCTAAAGACTTATCGGACAACCCCGACTTGTACCTAATATGAAGAAATAAAACAAATCACCGTTTAAATCCCCTTACAAATATTGGACCCCTTTATTAGAAAAAAAGCAGCCAGCTAGCTGCTAACCTCTGATGGAGCAGAACTTCCAGCGCCCAGTACTCCCCCAGCCTGTAGAGTACCCGGCGTAAGAGACACGTAGCGGGTTGGGATCCCTCCACGACATAAACGGCTGAGCGTCATCACCCTTTCCGACAGAAATGGTTCCGTCTGGGGCGCAGTTTATCCAAAAGGTCCTTAACTCTGTTGGCGAGTTGATACCTGTTGGGTAGTTAACATCAACCATCAGGTTTCCATTTTCATATATAACTCTGTGTTGATGAAACAATAAATCATTGAACTTGTACTGAAACACTGCACAGCACTCAGCCAACAGCATATTTATAACAGCCAGCAATTTCAGAGCAGCATCAAATTTGAAAAGGAAGGCTGACCTGGTGTCGAGACAAAGGCGAGATTGGGGCCTTGCTTTCTTCGTCGTATGGCTGATCTTGTATTTCGCCATCCACCGATGACGATTTCGTACATGTCCGAAACGTCGTGGTGAACTGACGACAGGCCAACGTGGACATCGTTTCGTGCAGATGCTTGAAAAGTGAAGCGCGTTCCCGTAAGCTGGGGTACATCCCATCGGTATCGGTAGGCGGTGTCGGTTGTTTTGAGCAAGCAGTCATCTGCAAGATATCAACCAGGCAGGAAATTATTCGCACGACCAGGAAAACGCAAGCGTTTACCCACTAACGTATTCGGTCATTAGAAATAGATATTGGGAAAACACATCAACAAAATTTGAAAAAAAGAACTTATATTCAATTATCATATAGCCAAAAGACGTCAACTAATCAAAAGGTTCTATTCCCATCGGTTATCAGGCCGTAACCTAAGAAGTGGTCGGTTATTAGAATAACCGACTAATTTTTGGACCGTACCATTATACAGGGGGCGGAAGACTAACAGTAGTGTTAACATTTGCAGTACATGTATTAATCTATTTTAAAAAAGTATTGTAGTTTATTTTAACAAATTTATTTCAAAATACAACACGATTAAAACATTAAGGTATCAATCAAATTTAAACAGAAAAAGACTAAAAATATTTTGACAGCCCCACTAAAAGTGGTACATGTACTGTTTCCATGTCACGTGGTCACCATAGACGATCTGTTTTTCTATTCACGCCAAATTCGTAATATATTGAATGTATTCATATGTAATGTATTCTAGCGTTCAAGTGTTATAAAGGAACTTGTCAACTGTCAAATAACAGTCAACCAACTGTGGCTATATGATAATAACGTTAATGCCCTGCTTTATCCTGGTTATATCTGGTGAGATAATCCCTGGCCAGGTGCAACAACTGCCTCATAAACCACTTCGTTCACTATGCTCACTCGGTGGTTTATTCGGTGGTTATTGCACCTGACCAGGGATCATCTCACCATATACACCTCGGGGCAGGGCATTAACTTTTTATTAGTTAGCAACTTAAAATTAACGTCTGCTCTGAGATTTTCCATCATTTGCATACTTCATGTACGACCTAAAAAGCTTTGTTTTTGAGGCAATGTTGGCATTGGTGTCATCATATTATATTGCAAGGCCAATATTTGGAAGCAAATTAACCATGATTCACTCCATCACCCTCCCAAACCCCTGACCGAAGCCAGTATTTTGAGGGGGTGAGGGGTTCCTTCCCACTGTGCGAGGGACCAACGAGCGCCGTATCCGCGAGGCAAGGGCCAAAGGCGCGAGTTTACTAGGGGGATCTGGGGGCATGCTCCCCGGAAAATTATGAAAATTGAACCTTCTGAAATGGCAAATCAAACATAACCTTTTATTCAATGACAAAATTACAAACTCACCGTTTTAATCCCCTTACAAATATTGGACCCCTGTATGAAAAAATGCAGCCAACTGCTAACCTCTGATGGAGCAGAACTTCCAGCGCCCAGTACTCCCCCAGCCTGTAGAGTACCCGGCGTAAGAGACACGTAGCGGGTTGGGATCCCTCCACGACATAAACGGCTGAGCGTCATCACCCTTTCCGACAGAAATGGTTCCGTCTGGGGCGCAGTTTATCCAAAAGGTCCTTAACTCTGTTGGCGAGTTGATACCTGTTGGGTAGTTAACATCAACCATCAGGTTTCCATTTTCATATATAACTCTGTGTTGATGAAACAATAAATCATTGAACTTGTACTGAAGCACTGCACAGCACTCAGCCAACAGCATATTTATAACAGTCAGCAATTTCAGAGCAGCATCAAATTTGAAAAGGAAGGCTGACCTGGTGTCGAGACAAAGGCGAGATTGGGGCCTTGCTTTCTTCGTCGTATGGCTGATCTTGTATTTCGCCATCCACCGATGACGATTTCGTACATGTCCGACACGTCGTGGTGAACTGACGACAGGCCAACGTGGACATCGTTTCGTGCAGATGCTTGAAAAGTGAAGCGCGTTCCCGTAAGCTGGGGTACATCCCATCGGTATCGGTAGGTGGTGTCGGTTGTTTTGAGCAAGCAGTCATCTGCAAGATATCAACCAGGCAGGAAATTATTCGCACGACCAGGAAAACGCAAGCGTTTACCAACTAACGTATTCGGTCATTAGAAATAGATATTGGGTAAACACACCAACAAAATTTGAAAAAAGAAACTTATATTCAATTATCATATAACCAAAATATGTCAACCAATCAGAAGGTTCTATTTCCCAACGGTTATCACGCCGTAACCTCAGAAGTTGCCGGTTATTAGAATAACCGACTACTTTTGGACCATACCATAACCGGTAATATGTCCCTAAACCAAAAAGAAAAAATCAACAACATCAATATTCCGACCTCCGAAGTTGGTATTCGAATTTTTAAAAGCGGTGCACGCGGTTAGGGCGAAACGCGTTCGAATCGTTCTATTGAACATTTGGAAGCCCGGGCCGTACGCGTTAAGAACCTCCGGGCCGTACCGCTAGTTATCACACGGGCCTGAACACCCGTATCGAACGTAATCGCGGCCTAGGTATGACATAAATATAGAATACAACACGGGGTATTCCGTATCGCCTGAGGTTTCAGCCCGACCGCGCGTCGGATCGCCCGACGGCCGAAGGCCGGAGGAAGATCCGCTCTGCGGGAGGGTTGGGACCAACCCAAAAAAAACAAACACGCCTTTGAATGCGAAATGAGTGAAAATTTGGATTCGCTAATCCCCCAAAATGCAACAACATCAATTCCAAATCCCGAATTCTGTATTCGAATTGTCGAAAGCGCTGAACGCGGTTAGGGCGAACGCGTTCGAATCGTTCTATGGAAGCCATGAAAGCCCGGGCCGTACGCGTAAAGAAACCCGGGCCGTACCGTAAAGTACATATAGAATACAACACGGGGTATTCCGTATCGCCCGAGGTCCCAGCCCGACCGCGCGTTGGATCGCCCGACGGCCGAAGGCCAGAGGGAGATCCGATCCGCGGGAGGGCTGGGACCGAGGGTGATGCGGAATACACCGTGTTGTATCTTATTTATGTCATACCCACCCAAGAAAACACGCTTTTCAATGCAAAATGAGCAGAAAGTTGGTGTCCCTAAACCCAAAAAAGTGCAGCAACATCAATTCCAACGTCCGAATTTTGCATTCGAATTTTCGAAAGCGTTGCACGCGGATAGGGTGAAACGCGTTCGAATCGTTCTCTGGAACATTTGGAAGGCCCGGGCCTTACCGCCCTTACGCGTTAAGAACCCCCAGGCCGTACCGCTAGTTATCACACGGGCCGGAACACCCGTGTCGAACGTAATCGCGGCCCAGGTAGGACATAACGTAAAATATGGCCCGGTCCGGAACACCAGTATCAAACGTAATCGCCGCCCAGGTATGACATAAGCTGAGATGTCCCTGGTCAGGTGCGATAACCACCTCATGAACCAATTCGTTCACTATGCTCACTCGGTGGTTAATTCGGTGGTTATTGCTACTGACCAGGGATTATTTCACCATAGATTAACTCTTTATTAGTTAGCAACTTAAACACAATGCATGCCAGCTCTGAGAATTTCCATCATTTGCATACTTCATGTACGACCTAAAAAGCTTTGTTTTTGAGGCAGTGTTAACATTGGTGTCATCATATTGCATGGTCAATATTTGGAAGCAAATTAGCCATGATTCACTCCATCACCCTTCCAAACCCCTGACAGAAGCCAGGATTTTGAGGGGGTGAGGGGTTCTTTCCCACTATGCGAGGGACCAACGAGCGCCGTACCTGCGAGGCAAGGGCCAAAGACGCGAGTTTACTAGAGGGATCTGGGGGCATGCTCCCCGGAAAATTGTGAAAATTGAACCTTCTGAAATGGCAAATCAAACATAACCTTTTATTCAATGACAAAATTACAAAATCACCGTTTTAATCCCCTTACAAATATTGGACCCCTGTATAAAAAAAAATGCAGCCAACTGCTAACCTCTGATGGAGCAGAACTTCCAGCGCCCAGTACTCCCCCAGCCTGTAGAGTACCCAGCGTAAGAGACACGTAGCGGGTTGGGATCCCTCCACGACATAAACGGCTGAGCGTCATCACCCTTTCCGACGGAAATGGTTCCGTCTGGGGCGCAGTTTATCCAAAAGGTCCTTAACTCTGTTGGCGAGTTGATACCTGTTGGGTAGTTAACATCAACCATCAGGTTTCCATGTTCATATATAACTCTGTGTTGATGAAACAATAAATCATTGAACTTGTACTGAAGCACTGCACAGCACTCAGCCAACAGCATATTTATAACAGCCAGCAATTTCAGAGCAGCATCAAATTTGAAAAGGAAGGCTGACCTGGTGTCGAGACAAAGGCGAGATTGGGGCCTTGCTTTCTTCGTCGTATGGCTGATCTTGTATTTCGCCATCCACCGATGACGATTTCGTACATGTCCGACACGTCGTGGTGAACTGACGACAGGCCAACGTGGACATCGTTTCGTGCAGATGCTTGAAAAGTGAAGCGCGTGCCCGTAAGCTGGGGTACATCCCATCGGTATCGGTAGGCGGTGTCGGTTGTTTTGAGCAAGCAGTCATCTGCAAGATATCAACCAGGCAGGAAATTAAGTCGCACAAGAAGGAAAACTAAAGCGTTTACCCACTAACGTATTCGGTCATTAGAAATAGATATTGGGTAAACACACCAACAAAATTTAAAAAAAGAAACTTATATTCAATTATCATATAACCAAAATATGTCAACCACTCAGAAGGTTCTATTTNGCAGAACTTCCAGCGCCCAGTACTCCCCCAGCCTGTAGAGTACCCAGCGTAAGAGACACGTAGCGGGTTGGGATCCCTCCACGACATAAACGGCTGAGCGTCATCACCCTTTCCGACGGAAATGGTTCCGTCTGGGGCGCAGTTTATCCAAAAGGTCCTTAACTCTGTTGGCGAGTTGATACCTGTTGGGTAGTTAACATCAACCATCAGGTTTCCATTTTCATATATAACTCTGTGTTGATGAAACAATAAATCATTGAACTTGTACTGAAGCACTGCACAGCACTCAGCCAACAGCATATTTATAACAGCCAGCAATTTCAGAGCAGCATCAAATTTGAAAAGGAAGGCTGACCTGGTGTCGAGACAAAGGCGAGATTGGGGCCTTGCTTTCTTCGTCGTATGGCTGATCTTGTATTTCGCCATCCACCGATGACGATTTCGTACATGTCCGACACGTCGTGGTGAACTGACGACAGGCCAATGTGGACGTCGTTTCGTGCAGATGCTTGAAAAGTGAAGCGCGTTCCCGTAAGCTGGGGTACATCCCATCGGTATCGGTAGGTGGTGTCGGTTGTTTTGAGCAAGCAGTCATCTGCAAGATATCAATAAAACAGGATACTAAGTCAACCTATCATTAAACATTTCAACACAATCCTAAGTACTAGGATATTAGAAATAAATCTAGGCAAAACACAAAAAAATCTAAAATACTCAACTCGTTTAGCGAGATAAATATAGCTCCAGCTCCAATATATTTTCCGCCATTCTATTAACTCTTAACCCAGCTACATATAAGTTTGGACAATTTAAATGTTCTTGAATGTAGAAGAAAATCTGTTTGATACCTTCGTCAAGAAAGTTGTCTTTTAGATACACTATATATAGGGGTTAGCGATATGTAAACTTTTAGACCTTGGGGTGTGGTGCATACAACTATTTGATATTTGATAATAATAACTTTATTGCGCAACAGTTGTACAATTTACAAAGTATGGCATCTACTAACTTAAGCAAGTACATATCAGCTACATTTTCATAAGGCTAACCTAATACAAAAGTGGGTGACTAGTATGAGATAGGTATCAACTTATACAATCGTTGGAGGAGTTTCTAATATTTGATAGGAAGGTTGGGGCAACAAAGGTATCTATCGTGAGTGTCGTTGTATGTTGTAATTCTTTTTTACATCTGTATCAATTACCCCCATACGTGCTATCCTGAATACAGCCTTGTTAGCTTTGGTCCACTCCCATCCCCCTCTCCCTCTCGTACTGAATTGCAGGTAATTTGGTTCCAATATATAGGAGCCTTAGAAATGAGACCATGTTAAGATCATAACACTTACACTCACCAGTCGGCACAGAATGTTTTTCCTCGGGAAGTAGGGCTATTTCATCTTCATCGCCATTGTTGTTGGTCATTAGCTCTTCATCCAACAATTCTGTGTACAAAAATCAAGAATTCATATTTTTTTTTATTTTCTTTCTTTCTTCCTTCCTTTCTTTGCCATTAGTTGCTTTTATGATATTTTAAAATATGTTTTAAATGTGTTTTAAATATGTTTTAAAACTAAGAATGCAGATATGGTGGAACCTGTCTACCGACAGACTCCCCCTCCCCATACCTTCGAGTTCTTCAAGCAGAACCTTCGATTCCTCGATGTCAGGTGAAGCACCTTGTTCATTATTCAGACGCTGTTCTTGGGAAGGCAGGCTCTCGGCTTTTTGAAGAAAAAATGGAATATTTCAAATGATATGCCTCAATCATAGACAAAGTTAAAACTTTGCATTTCAAGTCACAGTAATTTTACAGTTGGTGGACCGACCTCGAAGAGAAAAAAAAACTCAAAAGAATTCAAGCGGCATCTTCTTTCTTACATTGTTTCGTTTGGAATATTTACCTGGATACACGGCTCCAGCCAGGAGCGTCAGTGTCAGAACAAGTAGAAATAGATGATTCATCTTTGACATTCGCCCTGTCCAGTGCATCTATATTTAAGAAAAAAACAACAACAAGGGGTTACCTTGCAAGTTGTGTTTTCGTAAGGCCATGTTGATTTGATTATATGGATGACATCCGCGCGCGCATGAATTTTCGGCCGTTTCAATAAAAAAAACGTTTTCAAACATACTGTAAATCGTACAAAACAGTTGCAAAATGAGCAAAAATATACCGTAAGTTACAAAAAAACCATACCAATGTCGTAGAATGCCAAAATCAAACGAAAAACGACGAGATTGTAAAGAAATGAACTTGAAGACTAGATTATTCGCCAAACCATATTCCGTCCCATTTCTTCAACCCTCATGACCACGTAGATTTCATAATGAAAACAACTTTTTTTTTGCAAAACTTTTTTTTTATTCGCACGCGCGCATCAATTTTGGGGTTCCCGGAGGATGTCATCCATACAATCAAATCAACACGGCCTAAGTAATCGTATATGCATAGCGTGGTATTGACAACGAAATAAAGCTTTCCATATATTGATACCTAGATGTATGATTAAGAGTACATGCCTGTCAAGATCAAACAATGGTGGCAGGGGTACGGAAATAGATCATAATTTAAGGTATCTAAGAACATAAAACTGAATGACAATCAATTTATCAACCCAAGCTTGGGTTATTGTTTTCAAAAGCTAAAAACCAAATCACCCACTATAGTCTCAAACAACCTGCTAGGTGCTCTGTATTGAAGATGCCATTCAGTGCAATCCTCAGTCAGGGTAGCCCCAGTAGGCCTGCACTTTTGTAAATGTAAACCTTAGACAGGGTTTAGAGTACTAGTTCATTTTTTTTTTGGTTCTATTAGTATTCTTCTCAACAACAGTTTCAAGCCGATTGATGTCGCTTCGCTTAAGCCTAGGTCACAATTCAAGAAAGGGGCCCACTCAGCGCGTTTTCGGCCTGTTTTGTTTTTGGCACTACCGTATGGGACCTGGACGGAGACTGGCGGCGTTCCCGGCGGCTGCCGGCCTATTTTTGGCACCACGCGGTCGCCGAATTGATTCTGACTCAAACTTAAAATCACTTTGGGGCCGTCGGGCAAGGTACGCTGAAGCGACGTAACCTAGCCACCGGGTCCCGACAGGCGGCCATATAGTGGAATGTATAGAAGGGATTTTTCGATTGTGTAGAGGAAATTTTTGTATGTATAGCTGTAGGCTCCGTGTAGGAACAGAATAAAGCCTTTATTGTTCTTTCAGTGTCTTTGTGGAATGTTTATAAAAAAGATCATGTCCACCGAGGCTCTGGCTTGGCTCTAAGCCTGGGTAGTCCATAGTAGTTAGCAACAATACGGAGCCGGGCACCCAGCTACCGAAGCTCCACGACTAAAGAACTCAGCACATACGTACAGTGCCGAGACTGCCGACTTATAATTCGGCAAAAAGCCAGCATGTGCCGGCTTGTCGTATACGTCGCTATGTACTGCCGCAAATTCACAATACCAGCTTTGTATTCCTGTGGTTTAGCAGCATTTTTATTCGCCCGCGCGCACTAGTTTGGGGGACTTCAGAGAATGTCACCCATAAAATCATGTCGGTGTGTGGCCTGTTCCACATGACCAAACAAATAACCTATAGAAACGGCACTCCTTTGCACACTACAATAGCTAAGCGTAACACCTCAACACACCTTACATATCATACATACTTAGGGTCTTATCGGAAGTTTTTCACAACAGAACAACGGAAAGCCACGGATATTAAGCTTAGGCGTCCCCGAATTGGCGGGATCTTCGCTTGACCAAGTTTACTATAAATAACGTGTTGAAATGACACGCCTATTTTGACTTCTAGCAGACAGCTTTTTCAACAGACAACGGACCACAGAATCCCTCCATGTGTTTAATGTCGAATGTTGAATGTCCGCTGTACAAAGTGTAAATATGGGAGTGAAAGCAAGAGTTTGAAAGTAAGAGTGTCCTAAAATCCTAAAGTTGTCACCATCTTACATGGTGTCTTGATTGTTTATAATTGGTGGGATTTTTCCTGTAGGCATACACACATCGAACGCATTTCTACAGGTAACGATCGCGGTGGAAGTTTTTAGAATATATAGAAGAGATTTCGGATTGTACAGAGGTGAATTTTATATAAAATCATTCTTTATTCGCAAATAAGAAAGGGACATTGGGCCCTTGTCACGTCGGTCATAAATTATGATCGTACATGCAGGGAAACATTAACCCTATCTAGACCGGGCTTTTTTGGGCTTGGTGGGACGGGGGGGGGGCTC